ACCCTGAGGGCCATCAGCAGATGCCTGCCGTGCAGGAGGACACAGGAAGGACGACGCATGGCCCAGACATCCTGGCTCGGTGTGCTTTTCTCCCAGCCTGTCCCTCCCACCGCCTGTCTGGCTGTGGCCCCGGACCGCACGTAGCCACCACGGTTCCCACAATGCACATCTGGAAGGCTTTGTTTGGTCAGAGCTCTTCCTTTAGAACTTGGCTCAAATGCTTGCGACCAAGAAGCCACCCCTGGTGCTTGCCAGGAGCCCGAGCCCTCCCTCCCCTCCCCCCCACCCCACGTCACATCTTTGCCCCCAACACTTTCACATGGCTCCACTGATCACTGGACTCCACTCCTAGGCTGCTCTTCTTCCTGTTTGTTTCCCAAGGGCTAGCACAGGGCCTGGACCATGCATGGTAAGTTTGTCAATCAATGCTCAATGGATGAATTCCAACGTGAAGGCCTCACCGTGGTCCACAGATCCCTTCTACACTGTACATCTTCACACACCATTTAACTGTCTTTAAAAAAGAAGTATGGTTGGTCACAGTTGTCTGATGCCACAGAAACATTAGTTACCAAAGTTATGCGACCTCACTACAGGTACTGACTCCTTTGCCTGTTGGAAGTACTAAACATGCCTTTTTTATGGAATGTTTCAGTTATTAATTGGGGCATGTGGGTGACTCAGTCGGTTAAGCACCTGACTTTGGCTCAGGTCATGAACTCAGGTTTGTGAGTTCGAGTCCCACATTGGGTGAGTTCAAACCCTGCTTCCAGTGAGCACTGTTTCTCTCTCTCTCTGCCCCTCGTGGGATTCTCTCTCTCTCCCTCCCTCACTTGCTCCCTCTCCCTCTCTCTCTCTCTCAAAAAAAAAAAGTTCATCAGCATTCATTATTCTGACACTTGCAAAGTGAATGATAACTAAAAGCACCACTGGAACCCATACAAAGAAAGCATTTTTGTTAAGATATTTGGGGCTTCTAAATGTTATATGAGGGACAGCTGGGTGGCTCAGTGGGTTAAATCTGACTCTTGATTTCAACTAGGTCACAATCTCACAGTTAGTGGGATTGAGCCCTGCAGCCCTGCTTGGGATTCTCTCTCTGCCCCTTTCCCCACTCTCTTTCTAATATAAAAGCATTTTTAAAAAATGTTACATGAAACCAAACATTAATGGCTGCTAAGATGAAACACTAGAAAAATGTCTTCTGGCTTACAAGACAGAAATAGGGGGCCTGACTGTAGTATCAGGGTGATGCTGGCCTCAGAATGAATTAGGAAGTGTTTCCTCCTGTTCAATTTTTGGGAAAATGTTTGAGAAGGATGGTATTAGCTATTCTTTATTATGTTGGGCAGGAGAAAACAGGATTTTTCATTGTATCCAATTCAGCGTAATAACAACTGCATCAGTACTTTTGTCATAAAGCTTTACTGACACGGTAACAATACTGAAAGTTTTCTAAAACCGAGACTGTGTTGGCTAAAATGTCAGGGTTTTCGCTTATAATTTCAGTGTTAACTATGATTTTGGGGCAAGGTTCTTTTATCTTAAAAGACATTACGTAGCCTTAAAGTAATGGAGCGAGGCGGTTATTATCAAAGCTGCTGATACCACAAAAGGAGAGATAACTAGACATGTGTCCCCCTGGATGGACTAGCCACCACCACCACCGATGAAACGCTCTAACAAAACAGGCAAAGAAACAAAACAATAATACCGAATCTGATCAAGGCCGAGAATACAGGAGAAAGGGGAATGCAGTAAAGGACACCACGGGATTGCATTCAGCAAAATTGAGCCTGGGGACACCCTCCAGGACAATAATCTGGTTCTTCCAGGTAAATTACAAGGAAAAAGATATGAAGAGACTCGTAGGTACAAACACTCATCATGAGGCTTGGTGACCAATTACAGTGTATGCAGCTGGTCTGGATCCAGATTCAAACTATACTGTAAAATTTTTAATAAGACAATCAGAACTTTGATGATTGAGGAATGATGATTGATGACATTGAGGAATTACTGTCAATTTTTAAAGATATGATAATTGGTATTGTGGTTGTGTAAAAATGAAAGGTATTCTATTTAAAGATAAAATTTTTAGGGGCGCCTGGGTGGCTCAGTCGGCTGAGCGTCCGGCTTCGGCTCAGGTCATGATCTCGCGGTTCGTGAGTTCGACCCCGCGTCGGGCTCTGTACTGGCAGCTCGGAGCCTAGAGCCTGCTTCGGATTCTGTGTCTCCCTCTTTCTGCCCCCCACCCTCCCCGCTCATGCTCACTGGCGCGCGCGTGCTCTCTGTCAAAAATAAACATTAAAAAAATTAGAAAATAAATAAAATGTATTATATTTAAGGCATTTATACGTGAAATGACACGAAGTCTGGGATTAACACTGAAATGATGGAGTGGCTGGGGGCAAGGTGAAAAAGACTGGTAAATGACCTGGTAATTGTGAAAGCTGGATCAGGTCATTAGATATCTGGCTCTTTCCACTTTTGTATATGTTTGAATTTTTCCCTAAGAAAAAGCTGAACATCAAAAACAGGAGAAGGCAATACAGACAGGTCACACCAGGACAGCATACCTTGGTATTCCTGGATCCTGAGTTTTGTGACATGCACTTGTAAGGTTTCTTTCCCCCGGTAAAAGGAATTGTATGCTTTTCAAAATGCCTTAAAGTCATTTCCAAACGCTGTGAATATTGCTTTAAAATGTACGAGGGCCTTTAATAAAACAGCATTTGATATCTTTGTCCTTCCAAGCGATTTCTTTTCCACGACAACAGAATGGAAAAGCTCCATTTCCAAAAGCTGTGTGTCATTCTTCTGAAAATAATTTTTGAGTTAGGTGTTCGGAGTAACTTGGAATGATAAAGGTGCAAACGATTACCATACAGTATGCTTCTCTGAGAGGAGCCAGACACAGACATTTTTGAATGAAATTGCAAAACCTTGCACTTCCTGGATCAGAACACGCCACTGCAGCTTATGAGGAAGTAGGCAACACCCGAAGGCTCGCACACTGAAACACGGGGCACGTTTGTTAAGAGTGCCCATCCCATGTAATCCAGAGACTGCGCCCAGGCACCATTCACAGCTGAACAGAGGCCGCCAGGGGTGCTGACGGCTGGGGCAGGGCTGTGGCTGGGGCAGGGCTGCTTCACACACCCCGTGAGAAGCAGGGAGATGCCTCAGCGTGCACTACTGAAAGGACCACACAATAACTGGAAGATAAAAATCACAGCAGCCCAGAATCACTGCACCCAAGTGCCCGTGGACCACCCACAGTGCCCGGGGTCGTTTCCAGGTGGAAGCCGGCAGCCCCCGGGAGTCCAGCCCACACTCTGGCCCTCACCTCCCCGGCTCCATGCAGCCTCACGGAGGTCCGGACGCCACCTGCCCCCTCCTTTCCCACCCTCCGGTACCGTCTGTCCGTGGCCATGCCTGGATTCCATGGTCTGGAACACCACAGCCCCACCCCTGCAAACACCTGGAACTCTGCTCCTCCTCCAGCCCCACCACCTGGTAACCCTCCAACACTTAATTACTTCTTGCCTGAGCTGCACAGCGGCATGTTGCTGGACAAACGACCGTACCTCCTGGCTTTGTCTGAGATCATGACCCCAAACTGTAAACAGGCATCAGCGTACTGCGACTACCTTTCTGGAGCGCAGGCACCTTCTCACTCCTCAAAATGCCTGTGTCACAGAGTCTCTTTCTTGAGACTTGCTCGCTCTGCCCCCATCGGCTAATGATCTCACTTCCCTGGCCGACAGAGTGGATGTCCTCAGTTGGGCACTCCCTGCGTGTCCCTTTTCCTGGCCCCGCCACCGAATCTGCCAGGTGTGCTCTTCTGGCCTTCCAGGCCACTGTCCTCTTCTCTATCCTGCCCCTCCTTTGTGATATAGTCTGTCCTGAGACAAAACTGACAACACGCACCCCTTTCTCGATTCTCTGCCATCCTGGAATCATGGCCTCGTTCTCTGAGCGTACCAAGTACGTGCCCTCCTCTGCTCCTGTGTCTGGGAATCTCTCCCCTTGAACCCTGCATGATGGGCTCCTCGCCATTCAGGTCTCAGCTTCGACATTGCCTCCTTGGGGGTGCGGATACAGTCATGTGCTGCCCAGATCCCACTCAGGACCCAGAGACTGGTACTGGGCTGCAGGGGGTGCTGCCCTCGGTCATCCAGGCTCTTCAGGAAATCGCCCTGGCTAAAGCCCTCGCGCCCTAGATGTTCTCGCAGTCCTGCTTCTCCCCTGCCCGATGCCGCGCCCTCTCTCACAGGGGCGCACCCTCGGGATCCCTCATAAGTGCCTGCACGCAAACCTGGGACATCCATCTGAGCTGTCACCCCTTCCCCTCTATCCCTTCACCTTGCTGTGATTGTCTGCATGGCCTCCATCACCGCCCACTTCCTCTCAGTAGAATGTAGGTTCCAGCAGAGCCAGGAATTGGTGTCGCTCATCTCTGTACCTCGAGAGCCCACACCAGGGACCAGGGCTCGGCAGATACAGCTGCCCAAGGAATGAGGGGGCTCTGGGCACTCATGGCCCCTCCGGTCTTTCTTATAGGGTTGTTTAGGATTCTAGAGAACGTACATGAAGCAGTGTTTCCCCAGCACATGGTGCACACTAAACACCTTCTGAAGGCACTGAGATATAGTTACCATTCTTAACCTGAAGTCTCCCTTCAGGGAACAGTATGAAAATTGAAGGAAATGCAGAAAAAGGTGAAGTGACTGTCAGACTGGAGCCAGGACCAAAGGTGAGGAGAGAGTAAAACCTGATACCATCTGATAAACTGCATTTACAGATAAAATACAAACAGAAGAGGGACCAAGTTTAGGAAGCTGAGCAGCAGTGTGACAGAGAAGGGAACCCAGAAGAGACAGACACACGGCCTGCTCCCAGCCCGCCCCACGGTCGCAACCTTCGTCCCTGTGGGAACGACAGCCCACACCCCCCACCGCCATTCAGGAGTTGGGTCACGATGAAATTCCACTCACAGGAGAGGTGCTTTCTGGTTTGGACACCGGTGCTTTAAAGGTAGAAATACTTTTGGAAATGTCTGCTCTCTTATCTGCAGCCGCTTCCAAGGACAGACATTGCAAGTAATCTGGCGGGGGGATGACCACGCTGCTTTTCTCGGATAAGTTCACGGTGCTGATGCTTCTCACTGGCGCTGGGCTAACAACCAACAGGCAGAGAATGTGCATTACATAAGATCCCACCATCTGAACCCCGAACATCCTGAACATCCTATGGCCAGAACTGCAACAGATTAACAACCACACAGGGTGTGGGGAGGAGAGGACACATAATAGACCTCTATGTAAAAAGTACCGTCATGTTTTCACTGGTTTCTAAAGGTGCACTCAAAAGAAAACTAGCTTAATTCAGGGCTGGCTCTTGATTAATTTAAGGAGATCAATAAGAAAAGGAAGACTAAAAAGTGTTGAGCACTTCAGATTAAAACAAAACAAAAAGAACCTCAGCATTTTAACATCGTAAACACGATACCTAGTTTCATTCCTTGGCCCAGTGGCTGTTGAGCTACACGGCCAGGGATGAGGATACAGAGACGACACTGACCAGGACTTGGGGGCATCAACTGTGGTGCTCAAAGGTGCGCCGGGACAGCTAGATGGGATGCAGGGCTTCCCTGAGGCGGGAACCACTGAGGATGTGCCAGTTTAGGGTAAAGATGAGGGTAGTCTGGAGGGGTCACTTCTGAGGACCCCACGGGGCAGCCGACTACAACTGTGCAACACACACGCAAGTTTCACAGCCAGGTGTGGGAAAGACCTTCCTGGGTTTTAGCCTTGGCTCCACCTTTCTGTGCCTCGGTTTCCTCAATTTTAAAGCGGCGACCTACCTCATAAGGCTGTTCTGAGAATTAAATGAGCTAGTCAGTGTAAGGCATGTTGGCGCTTCCTAAGTGGCAATGACCATGACGGTCGCCTTGGATTTAGTAACCAGTTGGGGAGGGGGGCGGTGTGGTGAGTGGTTCCAGAGGGCTGATGGGGTGAGGAGCAGAGTCTGGGGGCATGCCCTCACAGCAGAAGCCACAAGGGAAACAACCGCGGGTAGCAATCCCCCTTTCGTACTCTCCTACACCATGGGAGGTTTCCCTGTGGGGCTGGCTCCATATGCAGACGGAATTCTGATATGGCCGAGAACATGCGGTCAAAGGTGAGTTTGTGGTCACTGGGAAATGGGAGCCACAGTCAGGTCCTACCTTGGTGTGGGCACACTCATGGCCTCCTTTGCATCTTCTTCCAGCAACTTCGTGTAAGATGCCGGGAACCAACCCCTCCTACAGGTGAGTGTGAGAAAAAAACCTGATCGTGGGGTCAGCAGCAGACAAGTGGACAATAAACACACGACGGGGGGACTTGGGGCAGCTCCAGAGCAGACCAATTCCTTTTCACCATGTCACATGATGTGTATTTTATACACAGCATTTATTTTATTTGGATTCTCTTTTTGGCTTTTTTTCCACATTTATTTAATAGGTAAATAATCTACACAGAAACCAACTTAACCACCTTACAGTAAAGCCTATGCACCTACTTGTTGAAATGAGGACACTAGCCTTTAAACTATTTGTGGGCTAAATCTTAACAAAATCTATCTAATGTGCATATTATCCTTGAGAAATCCAAAGTCACATTAAAAAAAAGGAAGAGAAAGAGTATTTAAAGTACTTTCTGAGGCGACTTCATATGATCTATTCAAGAACCAAACTTATCTGCAGATGCACAGACATACAGAAAATGGCCCGGAACAGAGTATAACTCCGATGAACTAAACTAGAACCATAACTAAACTAGGAACTTAACTTTGGTAAAAACACTACAGTGACCACAAGGACTCTGCTGCTCAACGGAGATATAGCAGTTCCCTGAAGCAGCGGGCGGTCCTGACTCCCACGTGGGCAGCATCTACCCCAAGACTTACGCTTTAGTGGTGTCGTGCTCCCCATAAAGCCAGCCGTCTTTCTCCTCGGGGACGAGCAGCGTGAGGACATCTCCCTGGGCGAAGCTGAGCAAGCTCTGGTTCGCGCCTGCGGTGTGTGGGAAGATGGTTTTCACCTTCTGCTTCTTCATCATGTTCAGTCCGGTTGCGACAGAAACCGATCGCTGTAAACTGGGATCATCTGAAGAATCTGTTAAAACTGAGCACGGCAGCGACTGCTTTTCAAAGAGCGATAACACGGCAAGTTCACAACAGCAAACCCCGGAAAGCCACCCACTCCTGTCTGCCAGCGATCCTTCCACTTCAGCTCCACACGCCATATCTCCGAGCCCTAGTCTTCGCCTGGACCCACGGACGGATGGGCGGGGAACAGCGAGGAGCGGAAGCAGAACTGCTGCCTGAGGCCCCTCACCAAGGACGACCCTTGAGGCTAAACGCTCTTCCCCACGTAGAGAGGACACACAGAGGCCAAGCCTCACCCGTGCTCTGAGGTAATCAGAGGCCAGCTGATGCGTCACCAGAGGGTCTGATGCCTTCCTCGCCCTCCTCTCCCAACATGAATCCCAAGGCAGGGCGGGATCTACTCAAACCCCACTGCCCACGCTCTGGGCTGCAAGGAACAAGAGGAGACTGGAAATGCAGCTGTTCTCGCCGTGCTCACTTACTGAACCCTCCCTAATCAGTGCCGTCCACGCTTTTGATGCTTCGAAGCTTCTGAGGGAAGGACTAGTTATCATCCACGGTGACTCAATGGGATCACAGCTAGCACGTGGCCTAGCTGGGCACCAGATGTGGGTGGCCTGACCCCACAGCCCAGACTTTGTACATTTCTGTCTCCCTTGGAGCGTGGGCTGATACTTCCCACTTCAAAGAAACAAAATAGCCATTCTGAAAATCTCCTCTCCCGTTTCACCCAGGACAGGGCTGCAAATGCTGCAGTCTGTGGCTCTCTCTAGCCCATGGCTTGAAGGCCATGACTTTCATGAGTGAACCTGTGAGACACCTATCACAGAGAGAGGGGCCTCTGGTGTCAAAAACTCTGCACAGAGCAGAGCCTAACCAAAGCTGCCTGAAATGTCTGCAAACAGTAACTGGTCCTGATTTATTGAAACAGCATCAACAGAAATTTAAGCAGTGAGAACTGAAGTGTTCAGAAAGCATGAAGTTCTCTGTTAGAGATGATGAAAAACACTGATTATAATTCAAACCAAGCCTACTGGTAAGATTAATAACCATAATTTTGTTATGGGAACTTTAATAATTTGTTTTATTGAAAAAAAAATTTTATTACAATTGCCACTTAATATGGCACTCAGTGTGGAGGCTCTTGTTATATTTTAAAATGTAATACCTTTATTTAAAAAAAAATTTTTTTTTAATGTTAATTTTTTTTTTTTCAACATTTATTTATTTTTGGGACAGAGAGAGACAGAGCATGAACGGGCGAGGGGCAGAGAGAGAGGGAGACACAGAATCGGAAACAGGCTCCAGGCTCCGAGCCATCAGCCCAGAGCCCGACGCGGGGCTCGAACTCACAGACCGCGAGATCGTGACCTGGCTGAAGTCGGACGCTTAACCGACTGCGCCACCCAGGCGCCCCTAATGTTAATTTTTGAGAGAGCTAGAGAGAGGCAGAGCACGAGTGGGGGAGGGACAGGGTGAGAGAGGGAGACACAGAATCCGAAGCAGGCTCCAGGCTCTGAGCTGTCAGCACAGAGCCTGATGTGGAGCTCAAACCCACAAACCGCGAGATCAAGACATGAGCCGAACATGAGTCAGATGCCCAACCGACTGAGCCACCCAGGTGCCCCTAAAATGTAACACCTTTCAATAGCACAATTACTCTATATAAACATGAATCAGTACATGGAATTAGTATGTGTTAAAGTGTCAATTATAAAATGTCTTATGGTTTTATAATAAACCCGTACCTTTATTTATTTTGAAGTATAAGTTCCAATAAGGCAATGCTGAATTCTACTTCATGGTAACATTTATCCAAAATATTAAAAAAAATTTAAAAAAGTATTTAAAAAGGGGCACCTGGGTGGCTCAGTCAGTTGAGCATCCGACTTCGGCTCAGGTTATGATCTCACAGTTTGTGGGCTCGAGCCGCATGTCAGGCTCTGTGCAGACAGCTCAGGGCCTAGAGCCTGCTTCAGATCCTGTCTCCCCCTCTCTCTCTGCCCCTTCCCCGTTCATGCTCTGTCTCTCAAAAATGAATAAATGTTAAAAAAAATTAAAAAAAAAAAAGGTATTTAAAAAGAAATCAAAATAAATATCTTACCTGTTGAATTCTTGATCCTTTCTGAATTCTGTGCAACTGCTGTTGGGTTATTAAACATATCAATCAAAGGACTGGTATACGCTCTGGCTGAAGGAGCTGGGGGCACCTTTGGTGAATATTTAGAAAGGGTGTCATAATCTTTCCCAACCTGTGAAAAATTCCTTATTAGTTTAATATTAGTGTAACACAGCAATGGACTTACAGAGATTTCCAGGGCTGTTGGAACATGTTTTAAATTCCACTTTCTTCCCCAAATTCTCTTAGTTGGGTGGTAATGCCCTATTCTGAATTATTTCAAGATTATCACATTCTTTTCTTCATTTTGTCTTTTTTTTTTTAAGGCAATTACTCCCCATTTCCCACATCCCCTGGCAACCACTAATCTACTTTCTGTCTCTATGGATTTTAGGGTCCTCTCTAGGTCTATAGGATTTGTCTTCTTGGCTACAGAATTCTACACTTAAAATAATTTTTCCAAAGAATTTTGAGTGCATTGCTCCTTTAATTTCTAACATCTTGTTTTGGTAACAAGAAATCTGGTACCATTAGTGTTCTCTTTTCTTTGTGAGTAATTTATTTTCCCCCCTCCAGGAAATTCTTAGAATTTTCTCTTTGCCTCTTTCTGCAACTTGACCACGATCTATTGAGGTTTGGTTTTTTCCTCTTGTCTAGGCTCACTCACTCAGTGTTAAAGAGCAGGCAGGGTCTACTGCAGTAACTTCTGCAGGGACCATAGTCAGGGCAGCAGAGGGGGAGAAGTGGCTGGCCTTGAATATACCTGGAAGGTGGAAACAACAGGGCATGCCTGTGGGTTGGCTGTGACTGGGTAGGGGGAGGGGGAGAGAGAGGGAAGGCGGAGTCCACATTTGTGCCTGAGCTACTGAAAGGATGGAGCTGCCATTTCCTGGATGGAAAAGACTGGAGAAGCATGTTTAGAGTGAGAAAATCAATCGTGTGGTTTTGGACAAGCTGAATTTGAGATCCCCATTAGACATCTGGTGATTCTAAGAAGGCAACTGGGTATCTCCAACCTGTGTAACATTAAGTTTACATCCTCTGTTTTTGTTTGGCATTTTGGGAGAGCTCTTTGGCTTAATTTTCTAAGCAGTTCCATTCTGCTAACAAGCCTGTCTACTGGTGTGGGGTTTTCTTGTTTGTTTTTTTTGTGGAGGGAGGAAGGGGAGGGAGAAATTTAAAAACCTATTTTAGAAGAATTTCAAGCAAGTACAAAAGTAGGAAGAAGAGCACAATAAATCTTGATGTACCCAACACCCAGCTTCAACAGTTACAAATTCATGGCCACTATTGTTTCATATACGCCACACCCATCTTCCCCCATGCCTGGATTATGCTGAAGCAAATCCCAGACATTTCAATTATAAATAATAATCCAGTTTTTAATTTCCAAAATCTCTAGTTGATTTTTCCCTGGGGATGTAATATCTTTTCATCTCCTTCTTAAGATTTCTCCTCCACTATTTCCTCTGTTGCCTCCAATATTGGCCATTCTGGTTTTTGTTTCTTTTGGTGTATCTTTTTATGGCATTGGTTTTCCTTACTTGCTCAGTGATTCCTGGTTATCTGTCCATCTTGGTATCTTACGGCATTCTCTATTCTTTTCACTCTTTATGGTAGTATGGATTTTGCCTGTTCTCCTTATCACAGGCTACCTACAGTGGGGTAGAGGACAGGGAAGATACTTCTAGGAGCATGCATGACCTCTGAGTGAAAACATGGTGCTTTGGCCAGTAGACCAAAGTCCCTGTTGCCTACTGTTCATTCAGCGCAAGTGGGACATTCAGCGCAAGTGAGACAGTGGGGAAGAAACCGACCAACATAGAGGATGCGAATCATACAGGAATGTAATGTCCTGGGTTCTCCACCGCTTCTTGCAAACCATTGACTCTGAGCTTACTGCTCCGCCCTCTGCGGCAGTCTTGCCCTGCACATGCTCAGAGCTAAGGTTTCCTTCTCTTTTGATTCTCCACACACTGATCTTGCCTTTCTTTTAGACTCCTTCAGGGTTGTTGGCCCACTGACAGCAGCTTCTCTTATTCCCCATGCAGTTATGGATCTATTCTGTAGGCTGCTGACTGGTCTTTAGCATCTCTGCTATCATTTCAGAGGTTAGGGTGGACTCATGTATCCAAACTACCCACTGGAAACAAATCTCCACACGTCTGCACAAAGTACTAAAACCCGGGTTCAAAGAACAGCAAACTACAATGCTTGACTACATTACCTTGAATACTGGGGTGGCCATATTTTTTTTTCCAGTACCAGATTATGTTGTGATGAATGGCACCAGAGTTTTGCTAATTATTCTCTAAGACACCTACACTTCCTTCACTACGAATAAACGTACAAATTTTGAATCATTACAATTAAAAACAGTAACAATAACATTTCCAAAACAAAGATAACAGTGGTATCCACAGCACTACATGCTGCTAACCATTGCACAGCCGGTGTCAAATCTGAAGGCAAGGGGATAGAAGTGAGAAAAGGCAGGCCCTAGAATAAAGGAAGACCTGTGATTCCCACTAACAAAAGCCTTGGTCCTCCGTGCAAATTTGGCCCAAATCGTATTAGTAAATGTGAAATCTTGGGGAGAAAACCAGTTCCTACCATGTTGCTTCTCTCGATCATTGGTGAAGGCTGAGGTGTTCCGGACACTGGGGTAGAGACTGGGGTCTTAATTTCTTCTATCATATTCATGATTTTCTCAGGTACTTTGGTAGCATCCCCACAGGTCTCCTGCCACCTAGGCAGTTTGGAATTGAGTAATTCTGCAGACTATAAATCCAAAAGAAACACAACTAAACACAAACATGTATTGCTCAAAGAGCTGAGAAAAGTTACATCAACTATCAGTGATAATGTTTTACTGACTTACTACCACAAGTCTGAGACATTGTGTTAAATCCAGTGAACATTTAACCATCTCTGAGCATCTGCCCTGGGTTACTGGCTGAGAAAGATTAGGCTCCTTTTCTACAGGAGCTTCTCCATTCCTACAGCATGAATGCAGAGTTTAAGACTACTACAAGAATTGTAAATGATGAAGAACAAGCTCAAACACCAAAAGGGAGGCTTGAGCAATCTTATTAAGCCCTACTGTTTCCCCAGTGGCCTCAGAAATGCCAATCAGTGCTTTCTTCCTATTACTCCTGAGAGAGGGCAAAGCCCTCACCCCAACCCTTCTACGCCCTCAGACTGTAACCCTGACACACCAACTGCTTGGGCCTGCTTTATCCAAGGAGCCCCTGAAAGGACTGGGACACCGAAGCCAGGAAAAGGGAAGGCACAAGAGCAGTTTTCAGAAAGGTGATGTGACTTCCAATAGAGAAAAGAAGTAGACTTAGTTTATGCTACAAAGCATAGCTGGGATCCAAAGTTAACCGTAAGAAAGAGTCTGCCACCAACTAGAGCTCTCTGGAAACAGGCCAGGTTGCCTTGTGTCACAGTGAGTATCCCTTCAGTGGCAAGGCTTTGCTGTAGGAAGAGAGCTTCACGGTCACTTGGCCTATTGACCCTGGCCCAGCAGGGCACCCTCACCATGGAAAATGACTCTGCCAAAACTAGTACTGATGCACTGTTGACAAAAGTGATCATCTAATACTGCAATTCTTTCTTGTAACAATGTTAGATCTTAGGAATTTAGATTTGGTAGATGAATAGTCCTTAAAGTTGCAAACACTTTATAAAATATGTAACATTTGCCTGATGCATACAGATAGGGCCAAGTTGTTTCCCCCGAAAAAGAGGACGTTGCCTTATATGCAAGTGCTTACAAAGCTTCTACCATGGAGCAATCTCTAAATTACATTACAAATAACAATGAATATTTGACTTCACTCAATGCTAGTTTTGGATGCTTACACAGGCCCAATAAAATTTATAATTTAAAAAGAAGGGAAAGGGAAATAACACATATTTTGTAATGCTTTCTGGGGGCATAACCTCAAAACTATGTGTGCTGGAAGCAGGGCCGTAAAGCCAGTCATTCAGTTGATGAGATCATGAGGAAACACCTTGAGGAGGATAAAAAAGTAACCACAACAACTGTCTCGATGCTGGGACAGAACTTCCAGGGACACTTCTGTACATGGACTCCCAAGGTGAATATCTCAAACCACCCAGGTGGGCTGGACTTGGGGCCCACTGGGACCCATCCCACGGCTCTGGTGAGGACACTGATGCTGAGGATGCATCAGAGAGAGTCTGAGGAAAGCAGACTCATAGGTGAGAAAAGAAAAAGTGCTGTTTCTCAATTATTAAGCATTTTATGAAATATTTTAAATATGGATATATTACTTAAATATTATAAGCAACATTTGACCATTTCATCCACGTTTCTGAAAGTTTACATATTCAAGTTGGCCAAAACTATTTCTTTGGAGTCTTCTCATTGGCAAAATAGGTCCATCACTTTACACTGAGGCACATATGGACGGTAAGTAATTTCTAGGGCATTTGAATATGAAATTAGTAATAATGCAACACAACTTGCCACCTGAACCCACCTGTAAATGATAATAATGTAAGTGATTTGCAAAGCTACAGTGTTTGTCAACCAGAAAGCAGAAGCGCCTTTTCTCTTCAAGCAGAGCTTCTTTGCACCCATCTGCAATAAATTTCTGGATGTCGCTCTGGCGAGAAGTAACGGTTTCTACATACTAGGAAAATAAATAATAATTATACAAATATGACATGAGGGATCAGAGCTGCACAGCCAGACGTTTATCTTCCACCATCTTTACACTTGGTTTATTTTGATAATGGAATAAATACTAAATGCAGATAAACATTAGATAAAATAACAAAGTTTAGCCTGATCTGAGCAGGTATTATCATTCTCATTAAGATCCCTGACTCATGTGCAGAAGAACGTTGCCAAAAGCCTTCCACTCTGTGCTGGGCAATTTACACAAAATATTACTTTATGTTTCAGGGACAGGATTGTGTTCTGTTGGAAAAATCAACGGCTTTAGAACCAGAAACTTCGAATTCAAACCACAGTTCTAAGTATCAACCATGTGACTTAGCCTAAGCCTCATTTTCTTCATCTGTAAAATGGGGATAGTAATGCTAACCACCCTGAATTGGGAAAAAATGCCCATGTTCTTAGGAGGCTACTAATTATCCTCGACTCTGGAAAACTGTGGCCTTAAGCTCAATACCAACTCAAAAATGCTCATAAGCTTCAACAGCAGCAGAGCAGTGAGCAGATGAAAGTATACGCTGAGTGAGGTAAGTAAGCTTCCCTGTAAACTGCACAAATCATCAACAACAAAATAAAGAAAAAATTGCTGAAAAGTTCACCTCAATTTCTTTGTGTTCATATTTGAGCGCATTTCGTCCTCCTTGACTTTTCCTTCTGATCTTCTTCAACTCTGCTTGAGATTTCTCCAAAGAATCTAATTTATTCCTGTGTTCTGTTTGGTATCTTTTAAGAGTTGCCTGTAAGTGAAATGTTGTGCTTGTTTTAGTATAGCACCATACAAACTGTTGGGCAGTTACTGCTGCCAATATTTCCACTGGACGTGGCCCTGCACACCCGTTGCCTCCCTTCCACTTCAACGTGTGACTTTGTCCTCAAGTTCCCCGTTCACAGAAAGGGCCACTGACCACAAGGGCAGCTCCTATAGGATAACAATGTCTCTTCTTTCTTGTTTTCTCCCATGTTTTAGAACACTGAGTGGTAAGTACTTTGGGGAATAAAAAACAATTTAATGTTCCTGACTGTTTTATGACTTACAGTTTTAAGTAACAAAATTAACAATTGCAATCACAACCAATTATTTTGGGTGCTGTGTAGCGAAGTGTTTGGGGAGCCTAATAGAACTAGGTCAGAATTCTGGCATCATCCTTCATTTCCTGTGTGATCTCAGTAATTATTTAATTTCTCTAAAACCCATGTTCTCCCTTTAATCTGTACAGTGAGGATAAGAAGAGTATCTACATAAAGAGTTTCTATAGGGATAAACATCAGATAATGTATGGAAAATGCTTGCCATTACATCTACCTCAGCAGCTTTTGGAGGTCCCTCCAGAGTGCACACAGGGGCAGCAGGGCGATTTCAGGTAACCTACACTGCTTACTGCCACATGGGGTCTTGGTGAGAAAGGGGCTTTGGGTGGCAAAGAAAGTAGCTACTCTACAGCAGGTAAGGGAGGTGGAAAGAGCCCTGTGTGTGGAGGGTCAGGCAGACGGAGAAAACTGCTGGAATCATCAATACCGGGTGACAGGCAAGGGACACCATGCAGGAGCAGTCTGTGATGACTGGGAGAACACCAAGCACATCTCACGTCCTCAAGTGCTGGTTTGTGAAAGCAACAGCTGCACTAATACAGATGCAGATGCCATCCCCATGTGTGTGTACTTTGAAAACAATGCTTTCTCGAAGCAGGATTCCTTGCAATATTTTCCTCTATGCTTTTTAATAAAGATCCCAGGTGTTAATGCAAATGGAGCCCTGGAAGGCACCTTGTCTATTTCATGCATCTGTGTATATACTCAATACTAATCTCTATCCGTATTTGCTGCTGCTGGATAGACAGTGAGAGAAAGTTCTCCTAGGGCTTAGAGACCAGGCAAGCGTAGCCTCCTGGGAAAGCCAGGCCCCCGTGCCCCACACCTACCTCCACCCACGGAGGTGGAGCAAAACCGTGTACTCACATTCATGTATTTTACATCAAGTTCTGTCTTCTTCTCCAGCTCATGTATAATCTCTTTATGGAATTTTTTGAACTTTTAACAAAAGAAAATGAAAAATTCACATCAGCTTTGAGTCTTTAAGCAAAACAAATTTTTAATGTAAAATAAATATATTTTATAAGTATCAAAAGTTTACATACATTTTCATCAAGACTCTCATTGAGTTTCTTGTGGGTACTTGAAATCTCTATGAGAACTTGGCCTGTGAATAAAACCAGATGTTGGGGGGAGGGGGGAGAGTCACTGGGTGGATTTTGTAAAGATATTAAAGTAAGTAAAGTAATGGAATGAAGCACAGTCTATCACTGCCCTCAATGCCTGGAAGCATCAGGCCCTGTGGCCTGTCAGAAACACTGACTTCACACCCATGGCAGGGTGGGTTCCAGAGGGACACAGCCCCTCGCAAACTCACTCCACAACATTGTTCACCCAAAGAATGCCAACTTTTGTCTTCAAATTCACATCATGCTTTCTATATTTATTCCCTCCCTAAGCGGAATCTTATTTATCTGATTTAATTTTTAAATTCACTTACAAAAGATTATCATGGTCATTATAGTAACTACCTATAGGAACAAATGACTTATTTTTATCTAATCCCCAGAGTAATCTGATTATCTGTCAGGCATCAAAGATAAAGGTTATTTTTTCTCTCATTCTTGTGTCCTTTCGGAAAATATTAACGCCATGGGAAAATGCAGCAGGGACAGTGCTCTGCCTCGTATCTCCCGGGACTACACCAAGTCTCTGACACAAGTACAGTCATAGGACAGAAGAGAATGTTCCAGGACTAAGGAGCCTTACTCCAAAGGCAGCAGGATGATCATTTGATTTGCAAAGCACATCTCTGGCAGTTTGAGGCAGTGTGATAGACATGTTGACCGTGAGGTACCTACTGGGACATACGTGTTCAGGAAGCGGTTGAATTTCTTCAACTCTGATAAAGGTGAACAAGAGCCTCTCTCTCCCTGCTCATTTATCTATAGGAACCAAATGGGTCTGATACCTAAGACCTGGCAGATATGGAATCATCTGGAATAACCACCAGACCATATTAAATAAAAACAAAATGTGCTGGGTAGGTCCCCTACAGTTCAGTGGATATAGATAGAAAGGAATTCCTTGGGTGAACTGAAAGGCTGTAGATGAAGGAGAATTTAAATTAAGACTGTGGTGGATATGGGAAAAGAGAAAGAATACCAACTAGACTATGACTTCAGCTGTCCCTTTACACAAATGACACTACAGTGCCCTGTTGTTGAAACAGTTTAAGACATCTGACTCTCAAACAGTCTAGGTTTCCCCCAATTCAACCCTTTTCTGGGGGCACCTGGGTGGCTCATTCAGTGGAGCATCTGATTCTTGATACTGGCTCAGGTCATGATCTCATGGTTCATGACATTGAGCCCAGCATCCAGCTTTGCACTGACAGCATGGAACCTGCTTGGGATTCTCTATCTCTGCCCCTCCCCCAATTGTGCACGCTTTCATGCACATTTATTTATTTATTCTCTAAATAAATAATCATTAAAAAAATTTAAGAAAAAAAAAAGAAAAAGAAATTCAATCCCTTCCTGAACATGTTTGTCCACCTGGATGTCCCAGGAGGTACGTCATGGTCAACATGTCTAAAAGTGAGTTCACCCCATATTCTCTAGCCCCAGCTCTTGGCTGCCAGCTAGCCAGTCACAAGGGGTCGACAATTCACGATTGTGTCACACTCAATGACAAAGATGCAGTCCCTTGTGCATGTGGTGTCATCACTTGGGCCAACCTCTAGGGTGAAATCATGCCCCTTACTCATCTTGCTTCCTTGGGCAACAAATGTGCTGGCCCTTCCCTGCCGTGGAGAGAAGATAAGTGGAAATAACATGTGAAATCTATGTGCATTCAATCATCTGTCCCAGGCCAAGTGGGGAAGAGTCACCGTAATCTGCCACCCAGCAACACATTCAAACCCACCAGTTGGACTAGGAGTGTCCCCCTGCCCATCATTTCTCTTTACTCCCAGCTTGTTCTCTTCTGGATCTTCTTCCTCACAGGTGCCAGAGATCCCTCAAAACCAGATGTAACATGTCATTCCCCTGGCCCCCACCCATGGTATCCCAGATAAACCACCTCCTCAGCATGAAGGCCACTGTGGACAATGCTGCTTAAGATAACCATGGCAGGTGGTGGGGACAGAGAATTTCCTATAAGGACAGAACCTTACAAAGTTACAGATAGGTAACTCGTAAGCCCCTAAGCAGCCTGTGATTCTAGGAACCTCTAACAGAACAGCCTGCTGGATGAACCAAAGGGAGGGGGCAGACACACAGCCAGCCGCATCCCCACCACACCAAGTTATCAAGATACCTACTCTCCATCCTTAATGACATTGACTTCATTTCTCCCATAATTACGTTCTCCTAAAGTTCAACATGAAATAATTCAGAGTTACCACAAAGGAAGCCTTCACATGCCCAAGAATATAATTATATTAAATGTCATTTTATCATTTAGTGATTTCAGACACTGAAATAGTCTGAGTTACTTTCACATCCATTTTAAAATCATAAATAACTCTTGGCTACAGATGAAAAACAGTAACAACAAAAAAAAAACCCTACTTCAATTATTTGAAAATTAAGCACTCTATTCTTGGCAAGTCAGATCTACTTTTTAAAAAAAGTCTAAAAATAATTGTGCTTAAATCACTCAGTGTGATTCAAGCTAGAATCAAAGCACTCACAATTTTTTTTTCATATGGTCATGAACTTTATCTCTACAACCGTATATAATGTGGATCTCTGAGAAGCATGTTGCCAAAACAAAAGCTTGTGCTAGTGTGGCACTCTTGTGAAAGCCAGCACTGCTGAACCTGGTGCTTGGTCTCGAGGCGCCTCCCACCTCGTGGTTTTCTCCCTGTAGGCAGCTGGGTGGAAAGGCTCACTGAAACAGCCCATTCACTCTGTGGCCAGGAGCAGAACACCCGACCTTATCCTGGTTATTCCTGTCCCTTACAGTTCGTGGAATTTAAATGCTGACTTTATAGCAGCAGCCACGGAGTCCTCGGTCAAAGAAGGATTAGAAAACATCTTTACTGTGATTATGGGAGCTGCCAAAAGTGTATCTTGAAACAGAAAATGAAAAGTCTTTATGTTCAATCTACAGAAGTTTATTCTTAAATATAGCAAGTGTTCCTTTATGTCTGAAACGTTGCATTGCACACGTTTATTTACTCTTAGCCCTGTAACCTAATTTTTCATAAATTACATTTGAGAAGAAAAAAATTGTTTTGAAAAGGAGGGTGGAGCAGAGCCCAGATTCTAATGGAGCAGAACTAAACACACACCCAAACAGGAACCAATGTGCTGGTCCCAGAAATCACAGACCATATGTACTGATCAACCATTTCCTTTTTCCCTTTTAGGTTCTGAGTACACATTCTGGGAAGAAACACCCAAGTACAGTAATATGACTCAGTCTGAGTAAATTATATTCTTAAATAGCATTACTAAAGGATTCACATATATACATATTTCAAAATCATGAATTTGACATAACTAAAAGTTGATGTCCACTATCAGCTTTAGGAACTTTGAATAAACATGTCCAATAATTTGGACAATACTATATAAAGATACGAATTTAAACTGAATGGATTTGGGGCGCCTGGGTGGCGCAGTCGGTTAAGCGTCCGACTTCAGCCAGGTCACGATCTCGCGGTCCGTGAGTTCGAGCCCCGCGTCGGGCTCTGGGCTGATGGCTCGGAGCCTGGAGCCTGTTTCCGATTCTGTGTCTCCCTCTCTCTCTGCCCCTCCCCCGTTCATGCTCTGTCTCTCTCTGTCCCAAAAATAAATAAACATTGAAAAAAAAAATTTTTAAACTGAATGGATTTAAAAAGTTAAATAACTAAAATTAAAGAGTATTACTTGTATGAACACATAAAAGTTTTCATTTGAAATACAGATTAGTTGTTGGACTGTTAATATATTTTCAACTAGATAACCCATTTTTTTAAAGTTTGAGAGCAAAAGACAGTGTGAGTCGGGGAGGGGCAGAGAGAGAAGGAGAGAATCCCAAGCAGGCTCTGTGCTATCAGTGCAGAGCCTGATGTGGGGCTTGATCTCATGAACTGTGAGGTAATGACCTGAGAGGAAATCAACAGAAGCTCAACTCACTGAGCCACCAGGCACCCTGACAACTAGATAATTCTTCATCAATTCACAGTATAAATTTAGAGAAACCAGATGGAGACTATTAACAGACATGAGTAGCACAGAACAGGTGCTCAATGTGTAGGCACACAGACTTTTTCATTTATAATTGATCATGGATAATCAGAACACAGTATTTCCAGAAAGCACAGAGCAATGATGGAGTGAGTCACACACGATTTCCTCCCTGTTACTTCAAGTGGAATCAAACAATAAAATGAGACAGTAGAAGCAAACCTACTGTGGACCTAAAGTTACACTCCATGAATTATGGTAAACCTGACCAAAAACGTCACTGGAAAAAGGATATACTTTTTCTAACAATTTTTAAAATATCAAACGTGATGAGAAAATATAATGGAAGTAAAAGCAAACTACACACAGATGGCTATGTTAAATACACAAGTATGTATCCCACAGATTAGAGTCACCAGCACGGAATTAGTACAGAGGCAGATTAGTAACCATGAACACGTGACTCAACTTGAAAGCTTTACCAGCATCTAAGAATAGCCCTCAGGGCTGCCCACCCACAGTCCCCGGATGCAACTGGAGGTGCTCTTTTCTGGTGAGTATCAATACTGTATCAGTAAACAACGTGCATGTAGGGATAAAGCCAAATAAGTGATAGGGTAAGCATTTCATCCAACACTCCTCCAGAAATCTAGCTTCTGACCTGGCCAACTATAGTACCACAATTCTAATTAATGTCTTCATGGAGACCGTAATTATTCTACCACTGATCACGACTTAGTCCATCCTATGAAAACAAATTGGACAAACAGAAATCGTACATTAGAAGTATATAGTGTTCCAAAGTTCTTTCATAGTCTGAGAGAAAAGTAAACTGCCAGGCAGCATCTGACTTTGTTAAGAAGAGATGCCACTAGGGTAGCCACTAAAAGAATAAAGTGCGTATAATGACCAAGCAAACAGAGAGGGGAAAAAACAATCAGCCAAAAAGAGGACAAGAGAAGAAATGAACATAGGACAGACAGCAGAA